CATTATCATTAACATCATTTTTGTTATCATTATTACTATTATTATTATTGTTATTGTTGTGGTTGTTAATGTTATTATTGTCATTATTATTACTACTATTTCATTATTATTATCATTATCATTATTATTATTATCATCATTATTATTATTGTTGTTATTATTATTATTATTATTATTATTATTATTATTATTATTATTATTATTATTATTATTATTATTATTATTATTATCATTATTATTATTATTATTATTATTATTATTATTATTATTATTATTATTATTATTTTTATCATCATCATCATTATCGTCATTTACGTTTGTCATAATCATAATCATTATTATTGCCATAATCGTATTCAATCATTATTATTATCATCATTCTAACCATCATCCTCATTATTTTTGTTATTTATATTGTTATATTCCCCAGTAATATCATTATCTTTATCATTATCAATATTGCTGTTTTTCTTATCAATATCATTATCATTATTATGATAATTATGATTATGAATCATTTTTAGCATCATTATTATCAATATCACCAATATCATCATTACTATAATTATTGTTACTACTATTTTTATTTTCATTATTATTACCTTTATTGTAATTATCTTTTTATTGTTATTATTACTATCATTATCACTATTTCCATTATCATCATTATCATTCTTATTGCTACTACTATTATCAGTGCTGTCATTATTATGATTTTTATTATTTTTGTTATCTCTATTATCATTATCATTTTTGTTATTGTTGTTATTAATATTATCATTATTATTATTATTATTATCATGTTTATTGTTATTATTATTATCATTATTATTAATATTGGTATCATTATTATCATTATTATTATCATTATCATTATTGCCGTTTTTATTATTATCATTACAATCATTATCATAATTTTTTCCCTATCTATCCCCTCACCTATCTACAAATCGGCATTTATCGACCAACCAATCTTTCTCTCCAAAATTAAAAAAAAAAATAATAATATGTTCTAAAAAAAATGCATCGAAAGTTCTACATCTTACAAAATTCTTGAGTAATGGACGACCGGAAAGGAGTGAGTGAGTGTTTACTATCAGTCCCGCATCCGTCGCCAGGCCCTGTACACTTGTCTATGGCCTCCCCAACCAGTCCTTTAGTAGTAGCTGCCTGGACCTCTGGGGTGGTTTTCGTTTGTCAATGTTTAAGGGTGTGGAGAACAGAGCGAAAAGGTATGTTTATTTTGGGGTTTGTTTGTGTGTGTGTGTGTGTGTGTGTGTGTGTGTGTGTGTGTGTGTGTGTGTGTGTGTGTGTGTGTGTGTGTTTGTTTATTTGGGTTTAGAAAGGATTGTTGGTATAAGCTTTGGATTAGTACTATTTGTGTGTTTTTCTCTTTCTTTCGCTCGCTCTCTTTCTCTTTCTCTCTCTTTCTCGTTCTCTCTCTCTCTCTCTCTCTCTCTCTCTCTCTCTCTCTCTCTCTCTCTCTCTCTCTCTCTCTCTCTCTCTCTCTCTCTCTCTCTCTCTCTCTCTCTCTCTCTCTCTCTCTCTCTTCTCTTCTCTCTCTCTCTCCGATTTATTTCCATTTTGCAACACTAGACATCATAATTTGTAAGTTTCACTGTGAGATATAATATTATATAAGTTCACACAACCCTCGTTATCTGTTTAACGCTGTATGTCCTTTTTTATCTCCGCGTGGGTGTGGTTTCCTTTCTATTTCTCAGGCTCCGTGTCTCTCCCTCTTTTCTCCGCCGTCATCTTCATCTCCTCGGCCATAACCATTCGCATTTCTGCTCCTCATAACGAAGTCTCTCCTCATCATCCAGTTTGATATTCGTCCATAACCATTTCGCTTGTCCTCATAATATAAACTTCCTTCCCGTGCTTCAGTCTTGCCTCATTTCTCAACTCTTTCTTCCCTCGTGTCTTGTTCCCCCTTTTTTTCTCTTGTTTTCTTATTCTTCATCCTTGATTTCTCTTCTTTTACCCCTCATTCCTCATCTTTACTCCCTCGACACCATCTCTCTCCTCTTTCATCCCCATCTCTCCTCCCTCACCCTATCTCTCTCCTCCCTCACCCCCATCTCTCCTCTCTCACCCCCATCTCTCTTCCCTCCCCTCCATCTCTCCTCCCTCTCCCCCCTCTCTCTTCCCTCTCCCCCTCTCTGCTCCCTCCCCCCCTCTCTTCCCTCGCCCCCATCTCTCCTCCCTCTCCCCCCATCTCTCCTCCCCCATCCATCTCCCGTCCCTGAACCCCATCTCTCCTCCCTCACCCCCAACCCTCATTGTAATCTCTCTTTTTTCTGATATCTCATTATCCATCTTCTCTCCTCTCTCTCTCTCTCTCTCTCTCTCTCTCCTTCCTCGCTCCTCATCCTTCACCATCTCTCTCTCCTCCACCACTCCGCGCTTATCTCTCCTTCCCTCTCCCTTACCTTTCACCCTCACTCTTTTTTTCCTTTTCCCTCATCTTTCACTCTCCCTCCCTCCTCCCTCCTTCTCCCTCACATTTCCCTCCTCATTCCTCATTCTTTCTCCTTCCCCCGTCCTTCCACTTCTCTCACTGAACACTCTCTCCACACTTTCACCCCCTCAGACCTCCCCCCTCCCCCCTCCCTCCAATTCACACCCTCTTTCCATCTCCCTCGTGTCCCTCCCCCCCCCCCCAACCCTACCTCCCACTCTTTTCCTCTTTCCCCACCTCGACCTTTCACCACTCTCACCCCCTCCCCTCCCCCACCTCACCCTCCCCACCACCCCTCCCCAATAATATCATTATTAACATCATTATCAGTATTATGACTGTTATCAATATCATTATTATTATTATGACTGTTATTGTTATGACTGCCATTAATATCATTATTATTATTATGACTTATTAATATCATTATTATTACAGATATCATCATTCTTATCATTATAATTGTTATTAATATCATTATTATCATTATTCATTCATTTAGATTTAGATGGTTTTCCTTCTTATCACTAATTATCGATAATTACATATATTATTATCATTATCAGCATTATTATCATTGTAATCATTACTTATTCACTTAGATGAGCCCAGCACCTACATCTCCTAGCTGGTTTAAATACTTATCATTATCATTATTATTATTACAGATATCATTATAATTATCTTCGTTTTCAATATAAACATTACTATTAACATTATCATTGATATTATTATTCACGCAGATGAGAACAACACCTGCCTCTCCTGGGTGGTTTTCATTATCTTTATCATTATCGTCATTATCATTAGTATCATTATTAAAATCATTATCATTATAATTCCCTCAAATGAGCCTAACACTTACCTCTCCTGGAGGGTTTTCAATTTTTATCATTATTATTATTACAGATATCAACATTATAATCATTATCCTTATCATCATTATCATTCACTATCATTAACATCATTCACTATCATATTATCATAATTCACTATCATATCATTACTCACTCTCAAATTATCATTATTCACTATCATATTATTCACTGTCATATCATTACTCACTCTCAAATTATCATTATTCACTATCATATTATTCACTGTCATATCATTACTATCATATTACCATTATTCACTATCATATTATTGACTATCATATCATTACTCCCTATCATATTATCCTTATTCACTATCATATTATCATTACTCATTATCATATTATTATTTATTATCATATTATAATTATTCACCCAGACGAGTTTTCCTTCTTATCTTAATCACAAACATTATCATTATCAACATTATCACTCTTCCCTCAGATGAGCATAACATCTACCTCTCCCGAATGTTCCTTTTTACCATTATCATTATTACAGATATCAACATTATCATCATCATCCTTTTCATACTCATCATCATTCACTATCATTAACATCATTCACTATCATATAATCTTTATTCACAATCATATTATTCACTATCATATCATTACTCACTATCATACCATAACTCACTACCATGTTATCATTATTCACTACCATATTATTCACTATCAAATCATTATTCACTATCAAATCATTATTCACTATCAAATTCACTATCAAATCATTATTGACTCTCATATTATTCACTATCATACCATTATTCACTATCATACCATTATTCACTATCATATTATTTACTCTCATATTAAAATTATTCACCCAGACGAGTTTTCCTTCTTATCATCATAATCACTAACATTATCATTATCAACATTATCACTCTTCCCTCAGATGAGCATAACACCTTCCTCTCCCGGCTGGTTCGACGTCGGCCGCGAGAAACCCTTCCAGCCATCTACCCCGAACTTAAAACCCCCGTGACTGTTGACGTGTTGGAAGTGGGGTGGGTTAGCGCTTTCTTCACGCTTCTGGTCCCGTTTATCCTTATATTGCCTGCGTTTGCGGGCTGTCGGGTGAGTCTTTTTGAGAGATTCGTTGTTTGGTTGTTGTGTTTTTGATGTGGTTGGTTGTGTGGTTTGTTTATGTTTATGTTTGTATTGATTACTGTTTCTATATATATATATATATTTTTTTTTTATAATTGTAATCATCTTTATTATCGTGATTATTAGCCTTATTGTTAGTATTGTCATTACTGTCATTGCTATTATTATTATTATTATTATTATTATTATTATTATTATTATTATTATTATTGTTGTTATTATCATCATCATCATCATCATCACCACCATTATCATTATCATTATTGTTATTACTGTTAGAATCATTGTTATCACTATTATTATCATCATTATTGTCATTATTATTATTACTTTTATTATTACTATTATTATTATCATTATCATTATTATTGCCATTATTATTACCATTATTATTATCACTATTACTAGTATTACTGTTATCACTATCATAATTACTCATAATTTATTATCATTTTTATTATTATCATTATTATTACCATCATCATTATTATTATACTAGTATCACTTACATCATTATTGCAGTTGTTATCACCAGTATTGCCATTA